CCAGGAACGTTAACATGCATATAGGATGGGATTTGCTTTCTTCTGGTGTACCAGATACTTGCAGTGAGACAGGCTTCCCAAGCAGGTGCATGTTTCAGGTGCTGGGTGAATTCTGCCATCCTACTGAAAACTGTGTCAAATTCAGCATCTCAGGTGTTCAAGACCCTGCTGGGAAATGCAGATAACCGGGATTATTTAAGAAAAGAGGAAAATTCCCCTTGGATCTAGGCATGGGAAAAGTAGATGTACCATTTTGGTCACACCTAGCCCAGTACCTTGTCTTGAACCGTGGTGAGTAATCAATACTTAATGAGAAAGCATCAGAAAGAGGGTATTACAGATTGTTACTGCCCTGCCATACCCTTCATGCTGGGCAACAGCCCTGCAGGGAGAACCCACAAAGAAAAGAAATTCAGTGAGATATGAGGGTTTATGGATTTTGTCATTTAATAGGAAATGCCAGGAAGAGACAAGTTTGATGTTAATTCTAGTGCCACCTTTGCTAAAGTGCACTGCTAATGATACGCCATATTATATAGTTTCTAGAACAGAAAATTTACAAGAGGGAGTGGACTACTAGGAGATATTTACATTAAGAAACCAAAGGAATTTTGGTAAAGGATTATCAACAGCTTCTTCCTTCTGCTTTGAAATGTTTCAAGCCTTGACATATGTAGCTTTGCATATGAGAAGGAATTGGAGCTCGGTCAATGTGAAAGAGAGGAAGGTGATCTTTTATGACCAGGAGTTTAGAACGGAGCAGGAGCTGGAGAAGAAAACGGGCATATAAAGTGTCTGCTTTTCCCAGATAGCAAAATGGGACATGGTGTGGGTCCCAGCTAACTTCTAGGCAATAAAAATAAGTAGGGATTGAGAGCATAGAAAATTTTGAGACCTGCCAGACTTTAGGCCACAGGTCCAACCCCCCCACCCCCCATCGCAGTCTGTTAAAACGCCTGCTGCGACGCACTTCCCGTGCAACGTGCTGCCAAAGAAATGAGCACACTCTCGAACAATCCAACTTCATTTCCTTCTGGTATCCTCTCATATTTACACACCCAACCTTGCCAAGCCTTGCTAGGCCCAAACAATCCCTCTGAAAAAAAAGGAAAAACAAAGGAACTCCTACAGCCTGTAAAGCACCTTCCTGCCCACCCCAAAAAAAAGAAAAAAGAAATGGTTTGGAGGGCTCTTTTTTCTCTCTTGGTTGCTCACTGTTTCCCAAGCTAATGAAAGCCAGAGGCTGTGGGAGTGACAGGATTATCATTACTGAGGGAACAGAGTGAATTTTTCAGGTATTTCTCTCCAGTTCGTGAAGCAGGGAGGGGAAGAAGGGAATGTACCTGATTGAAGGGCTACACAGGGTGACATGTTCCTTGATGTTCCTTTCTAAATGTGGCTCTGAGTCATGCTACGGAGTTGATTAGAAAAATTATCTTCCTGCAGTAGAAATACAAAGGCAAAAGAGTCTTGTTCAGCGTTCGCTTCCCCAGCCCTGATTCTGAGCCTCCCCGAGCCTGCGGCAGGAGAGGGGCTGGTGAGCTGGCTGGAAAGCCAGCTCTGCTCATCTCAGTAATCAGGAATTATGAAGAGCCTGTAAGAGCAGCCATAGAAACAGCTCAAAATGTGCACCTAAGGCTACATGGCAGCTGTAGTCCAAGGGGGAGGCGTGCACAGTCTTGCATCTGCCTCCATCACATAAGTTCCCACGTGCCAGGTCAGACAGGGCTAATGCAGTCCTTCTCCTCTCCTTTTCCTCCCCCACTTGATGCATCTCCAAACCTGCACCCCAAAACCTGCTCCTTCTGAAAAAGAGCTACAAGGCCCGTGGCACATCCACCCCTCGTGGCGTGCAAGACCACAGTGTGAAACAGGTACAGCCCTGCAGGGTCCGGCCTGGAGGCAGGGTGCCAGCGACGGTGTTGCAAATATTCTGATAAAGAAATCACAATTTAATTACATAGAAGAGTTAGGTTTGATTAAGAAGTAAAATTGTGAAGCATAATGTATAGGATTGTTAAGTTTGAAATGTAGCCATAGAAACTTTAGGAACTGTGTTACGTGTGACTGTAGGAACCTCAATAGTGTTGAAGTCTGAAATAGCTAACCATAGAAACCTCACCAGGAAGTTACTGGTTTTCTATGTCTTGTTTCAGGAAACTAAGGAAACTGTCATGGACACCAGTTATGCTGCTTGGAAACCCCTTACCCTTCCCATCTCGATTTGAGTATCGAAGATTCCAATCAGTAGAGCTAAGTGAAATTGACCAATGATTGTTTTTAAATAAGAATATTGATAAGGTTATATAATCAAAGGACCAATCATTATAAAGGTTAAATTTAAGAACGAGCATAGTATGCATTTTTATGTAAAGAGCTTATGTAACAATGACCTGACAGAAAAAGTCTATAAAAACTGATGGATTTTGATACTAAGTTGGACATGCCTTTGGAGGAGCGATCCCCTGTGTCCCCAGCGCTGCAATAAACAAAGTGCCTGCTTCTTAACTTCACATTGATGTTAAGGAGTTTTATTCCAGATTTCGGTAACAACGGCACGATCAAGGGAGGGAAGCCCTGAAGAAGCCATAAAACATGGCGAACTGGTTTGAACTCACAGGAGCAGCGTGTGAGCTGGACCACTGGGTCGCAGCCATTAGAAGAAAGTGATTAAAGGCATACATTGCTCCAAAGGAAACTAGTGGAGATGGCCACGGCTCCACCGCAACCGGCTGGCCGAAGAGGCGGCAGCTGCCAGGATGCCGCGTGTCTCCTCCGGCACTTTGGCACCGGTCTGCGACCACCAGCGCTGACCCTAACTCGGTGGCCGGGTTTCCGCCATCGGCCCAAATCCCTGCGGCAACCCGCTGCCCTCGGCTAGGGCTGAGCCAGCAAACTCACAGGGGAGGAGGGCAAGGGGAAATGCAAGCTGTGTTACAGTGATCAATATGGTGGAGTAGTTTTTAACGCCATTTCTGCAGGTTAATTTAGTGCCTCGCCCCTACTCCTTAAACCTCTTCCCAGGTTCAGGACCTGCGTGTTTTTATCTTTGTTCAAATCATCGGAATTGGACAAAAAAACACCCATGGGGGCACCTTGTCGCAGCGGTACCCGCGGGCCAGAGGAGGGGAGGCAAATATGGCGATTTGGGGGAAAAAAGGCAGACTGAATTATGTGAGGCGTGCCAAGGAATACAGGCACACACCGGATCGGGAAGAGCCAGCACCGGTTTCCCAGCAAACACTCAACTTGCCGCTGTTAAAAATTCCGAGCATTGTTTTACATATGGGGGGGAAACCCAAGCGGCTGAACCTGGCGTTACTTAATTGCCGTTAATGAGGGATGGAGGTGCTGGGCGTGCCCGGTCCGGCGCTGAGGAGGGGCCGGAGCGCTCCAGCGGGACGATGGCGCACAGCCCTCTGGGAAGTGTAGTCCTCGGGCGCGCCGCCATCTTGGCGCCGCCACCACACAGCCTTTCGGGGCGTTTCCTGGCAGCCATCTTGGGATGGGCCGGGGAGGGGGCGAAGTCCTCTTTCACAGGCATCGGGTGGGGCTGCCGGGGGTTGAGGTCTTGGTTTTAGTAGCGGTGTGGGTGTTGTTTTTATTTTGACTCGAAACAACAGGAAATCTCTTACAAAAGGCAACCTGAGCAGTGTAGTGAGTCCTCTGACAGGCCTGGTGGTGCTTCAGGGATGGTTTGTGGGAGTCTGGCCTTGCTTATGGGCATTGTGCTGGTATTGGCTTTGTGTCCGTTCTGCCATCATGTGTAGCTAAATAAAGGCAATTTTTCCTTAGAAGTCTGTCCTGAAGGCCTCTTAGTGCCATGCCAGCTCACTCCAGAGGATGAGGGAGTTCCTGGGTCCTGTGCTGAGTCTTCTGGTACCCCTCCTGGCTGGGGATGCTGGGAGCACTTCCGAGGGAAGGCCTGACAGGGTTTGTGAGGGTCTGCAGAGAGCCTGGGCTATGTGTTGCCTGGGAGGGAGCACAAGGCTGTGGAGAGCAGAGCCGGGGCAGAATCAGGGAGGAAAGGATCAGGGAGTGGTTAATGGGACCTGAATTTGGGAAAGAAGTGGGGGAATATGAGGGCATGCAGGTCCCTGTGTAGCAAAGTCAACAAGTGCTTTCAGTCTGCTCAGGGAGGTGGAATAAGTAAGGACAAAGCAAGTGTCAGGGGCTATGAAGCTAAGCGAGAGCATATGAAGGGATGGGAGAGGGCAGTTGGGGGTATGGGGTTGTGTTTAATAAGACTGTGAAAGGAAATAGGGCTCATCCCAGGGCCATTGGATGCTCTTGTTGGTGTCCTCAGTGGAGCTGCCCCTGATGTTCCTCCCAGAGCCTGTTGTTGCTTTGCCTCAGAGAGAAGGTGACTCCTTCATAGAAGAAATAATTTACAGTGCTCATCAGCCTGCAACTTCAGGTGTATTGTTCAGTTCCCTAAGTATTTAGTGAGTGAAATTTCAAAGACAGGCACTCAAACTCACTGAATGTCTTTGAGCCTGAACTTGGGATCTAAATCTGACCTCGGTTGTGTATTATACTATTACAGGTTATAGCTAGTTCTTTTAACACCAGTCCTTATTCACAGCAAAACCCCTGCTGCCTCATAGCATATTCTGCATATTTTTATAACATAAATTTAGCTACCTCTTAAGGGTAGGGTTTTTTAAATTTTATTTTATGCATGGATTTATTTTGGAGTAATCCAAAAAGATCCTTCCCTTTGCTTCAATAGTCTTATGCCATTATTGTAAGAAGCCAGGCCATCCTCATAGATCTATTGGGCTGTTTAATTGCTCTGCAAACACGGAGGGGTGCTAATAAGCTTTCTTTCAAGCATGTGTTCATATGTCAACACTTTTGCTTCTGTCAGAAGCTTAAAAATGGAAACAGTTTTCTCTTTAAGAAAACAGGACCCAAATAAGGAGATGATGGAGTGGTGAAGATTCCTCTAGTGAGTCTGTTCCAGCTCATTCCTTAGAAAGGCTGTGTATGAAAGATCAGAGAAGAGGCCAGTAGATCTGGGTTTTGTCCAGGGGGTCTCTGGGTTTAAGCACTGTCTACAAGCACTTGAGCTCATTTTGCCTGTGACTTGGCTGGGTAGAACTTCTTTCTCTGCCCAAGCTGGTAAAAATCTAAAACTTTACTCTTCAGAATTCTTTCAGTAGCGCGACATATACAACCTATCCTTTAGCAAAAATGGAAGCTATCAAGAAAAAGATGCAGATGTTGAAGTTGGACAAGGAGAATGCCATTGACAGAGCAGAGCAGGCTGAAACAGATAAGAAGGCAGCTGAGGACAAATGCAAACAGGTAAGTAGAAATAAAATCACTGATAGCATGTGTGCTGTGGAAGTAAGTGTAACAAAATACTATGTTGCAACTTTCTGATTCAGAAAGCAAAATAATTTGAAGTCAGGTTTTCTGCTAATCTTTTCAAGTCTTTTGCCTTTTGTGATGTTACACTCATACAGCCAGGGCTAGGTATTAACTTCTCCTTTCAGCCATCTGAGTCTTTGCAAAATTAGCACTATCCACAGATTCTTAAGAGAGCTTTGTCTAACTTCTCTTGAATCTTACATAATTGCCTTAATTTTCTTGTGCTTCTGATTCCATGGAAAAGACCTTACATACTCCAAATCAAAGCTGTATACTTTGAACACCTGTAGGACTAGTGTTAATACCTCCTGAAGAGTCAGCTGTGTTTAAACATTAATTGAGCCTCTCCTTGGAGTGAATTAATAAAGTTCACTTGACTAGTCCTTGGTATACAGAGTGCCCCTTACAGGTGCCAGCTGTGACTCAACAGTAGATATGTTGTATTATTTTTTGTTAAGAATAATCAGAAATACCTTAATTTGAAAGCTCTTCTTTTAACTGAATTTGTGATAATATTTTCATATTCTTTTGCTTTTCAATGTTCTGTTTTCTGGGTATCTATCTCATATTTGAGCTATAGTATTTTCAGAGTGATCTTGAAATGTAAGTTGACTACATTCAAGTTTCCTATAGCACTTCTTGTAAAATTACCATGTCTTTTGCTTTTACATCCTCTGAATGTGGCTGCTTCTGCTACATCTTCCAGACTGCTATAATACGTTATTAGCATTCATTTGGCAAAATATTTCTTAACATTCAAGTTCAGTTTGAGATCCTGGATGACTTAACTAAACTTTCAACTGATCATCCATTTAGCTAAAGCAAGAGGAAGAAAGTTTCCAAAAGGGTCAGCTGCTGCTGTCTTCCCTCTCCACCCCCAACATAAGGAAAACTACTTGTCTCTTTTGTGTCATTACAGTAAGCTTCTACAAGCTGCATGCATCGCCTGTGTACCTAGTCCCTATTTCTTTCCTAGCTTCAGAGGTGTTGATCCGATGCTGTTCTGTTGGGCCGCAGTATCCCCAGCTAATCTTTCTGCACTCAGTAACAGCCACAGCAGATTGTTATTCAGAGCAGTTAATGGTGATTGAATGCTTAGCCTTCCTTTACATTTAGTTATCAAAGGTGATTTCCTACAGACTGATAAATGACACACTTGTGGGAATTTTCAAGTATCTATATGAGGGTAATTCACAATAAAAAGCTAAAAGAGAATAATAAATCTTTGATCTTACTCCTCTTTTCTGAATTGTCTGAAATTTTTCAGCTTTTTTTTTCATGTGGGCACAGTACTCAAGTAGGGATTTTATCACCTCCTTCATCCTGCTTACTGTCCCTCTGTTAAAGCGTCTAAGCAAGCATATTCAGTTCTTTCACACTATCTGGTTACTCTGAGTAGAAGTATAGCAACATAACAACGTTCAAGAACAGCATGCTACCAAAAATGTCATTAAAGCTATCTTTGAAGCTAGAATGAAGAAAGTCAGTGCACTAAAACACAAACTATTTTGAGTGAACTATTTTGATAGACTAAATTTATGTGAAGGTGGAGCAAAATGGTTAAATCCGTTTCTCTGTAGACTGAACTGTTTTGTATTGCAAATGAAATGATGGAGCAGATGGGTTTGCAGGCTGCACCCTTATCAGCAGCAAGCCGCCTGATAATGTAAATTCTTCAGGGAGCATGAGACAGTTTGTCATTAAACAGTCTCCCAGCAGGTTATAAATAGTACCATTCTAGCGTACAATACGGATTTATATGGTATGGAGGAGAGAGTCTGAACCTCTTGGTAGGATGGAACATACCTTGTTGGCCCACAATTAGGCAGAGAATAATTCAGGTTGGAAGGGACCTCCGGAGGTCGTCGAGCCCCACCTCCTGCTTACAGCAGGGTCTGGACCTGTTCCCTCCTGCTTCCAGAGTATCACGTTTGATTTGAAGTGTCTTGAACAACATACAAAAGATGACTAGGGAATGACCACTCATTTTTTCTAGCTATACGGGAACTGAACACTTTCCTAATCAATCATCAAGTAATAGTGTTAGAACAAACACAAGGACATAATTTTTAAACATTTATAATTATGCTGTAGAATTAACTGCTGCAGGGTGTTGTGGAGTCCAAAATAGAAATGAGGTGAAAAAGGGCTTATACCAAGTTACATATTAAATCAGATCCTGTATGTGCGGTGGCAGGAAATATTGTTCTAAGGGTGGTATGTTTTTAATGATCTTTGCCTGGCAACTGCTACCAGTCATTTTCAGACTACTTGCCCCAGCAGAACTTTGATCTGCTCTTTTGTGACTCTTCGTATGTTACATTAGGTTAAAACTAATAGTAAAGAGATCAGACTGTAACTGATAATACACCAGAATGTTTACTTCGGTTTTTTTTCTCTCTTGAAAGGTAGAGGATGAGCTGGTAGCTCTGCAGAAAAAGTTGAAAGGAACTGAAGATGAGCTGGATAAGTACTCGGAGGCTCTCAAAGATGCCCAGGAAAAACTAGAGCAGGCTGAAAAGAAGGCCACTGATGTACGTACCTATGGCTAATATTTGCCTGCAACTATGCTCTCCGTGTTTTGCAGTATGTATGTTGTACACTGATGATGAGAATCGCTGAGAGTTTTTGCACTGCAGCACTCAGATCGGGGGATGGGAAAGGCAGTGTTAGGATTCAGGGACGTTAAGTCTCCTGTCCCCTCTCCCAAAACGAGCTCGGGCTGGCTGTTCTGCGCTGAGCGCACGGCACAGGCAGTTTCCCCCCGGGAGCCAGCGCCACGCAGGGCTGAACGGGTACCCAGAGGGGAATTTTTACCACTGCACCCATCAGGGGTTTCTGAAACTGGGGGGGGGCGGTGTTGGGTGTTTGTGGGCGGGAATTCTTAAGGAAAGGTGAAATCTCCTTTAATCGAAACAAACAAGATGGTGCTCTTTCAGGGAAGCTGGGACAGAAGCAGGGATCTGCTGTGGCCTAAGGATGCAGTTTGGCTTCAGCCACAGAGCAGGCTTAAAAACCGGTCCCCGCTCCCCAGCCGCACGCCCCGGTCGTTTTGCCGTCGGAACGGTTCGGTTTAGCTTCGCTTGGCTGCGCGGGCCCAACCAGGGCAGTAACGAACCGGAGGGCAGGACTTGGCGGCGGTTTGCCGAACCCCGTTTTGGGGGTCCTCGGGATGGCCGGGCTGACCCGGGGAGCCCGGCAGTCCCGCGGCGGGTTTGGCATCGCGGAGCGGGGTGCGGGGCGCGGGGCTGCAGCGGGGCCCCCCGCGGGATGGGGGACGGGGGAACGGGCGGGGCGGCCCCGGGGCGCGACTGTCCCGGCGCTGCTTGCGCCGACTCCTCTGTGCTACGTCACCACACCCCCCCACCACCTCCACCTCCAGCCGCGTGACGTCATCGGCCCATTGAAAGGCGCGGGGCCGCGCGCCGCCACGTGCAGCACCTCCGCGCCTTGCCCGCCGCCAGCGCCGCGCCCATGGCCGCGCCGAGCTCCCTGGAAGCGGTGAAGAGGAAGATCCAGTGCCTGCAGCAACAGGCGGATGAGGCGGAGGATCGCGCCCAGGTCCTCCAGCGGGAGCTGGACCTGGAACGAGACCTGCGGGAGAAAGTGAGACCGCCCGGGCTGCCTGCTCGCCTCTCTCGGTCGCTCTCTCCCGGGCTGCCCTGCTCCTTCCTTCCTGTCTCTGGCTCTCTCTCGCTGGGGCGTGCCCGGCTCTCCCCTGCTCCGGGAGCACGGCTCGGCTGCCTTCATTCCTCAGCTGTATCCCCCTCGCTGCTCCGCTCCGCAGACTCCCTGCGGAAACCGCTGGCGCTGCCGCAGCGCCTCGCCCGCACCGTCCCCCGGGGCCGCCGGGCGCGGCGGCGGCTGCGGCGGGGGGGGCCCCGCCCCCGGGCCCGCGGCCTTTCGCGCCCTCCGGGC